TTTGGATATATGGGGGTTGGGGAGCTGCTTGAGGAGACAGTCTGTCCCTTATAGGAACTCAAGTGCTGAGCTGTGAGCTCCGTTGCTCCATTCAGAGCTGCTAGGCAGGTATGTTTAAGTTTGCTGCAGCAGAACTCATAACCGCCTTTTTTTCCCCAAGTGTTCTGTCCTGGGAAGGTGAGGCTGTATTTGTAATTTCCTGACATGCTGCTTCCTCTTTTCAGAGATCCCCTGCCCAGTGAGGAGGTAACCTAGTCTCAGTCTTCCAGCAGAGGCATTGCTGAGCTATGCGGGTTCTGTCTAGCTGCTGTGTAAGCTTCCTTGCAGTTTTGTTTATAGAGTTAGAACTGCCTCAGTAATGGTGGACTGCCTCGGTAATGGTGGGCACCCTTCTCCCCACAGAGCTGGACAGTCCCAGCTCCAGCTGTGCTTGCTGCGAAACTCTCAGTCTAGAGTGTTTCAGATTGTGGGTCTTTGTGGGGGTGGAACCCACTGAGCCAGATCACCTGGTTCCCTGTTTCAGCCCCCTTTTTTTTCGGTTGAATGGGTGGCTCTGTTTCCCAGGCAATCCAGGCACCAGCTGAAATGGTGCCCAGATTTGTGTGAGTTTTTGTGTGGAGACCCACTGTGCTGGCTGAAACAGCCATGCCAGAGAGTAGTGGCACGTTTCTGACTGGGAATCTCCTGTTCTGTGGGCAGTAAAAATTCATTTGGAAATGCAGCGATCACTCACCCTCTGCATTCTCGCTGGGAGCTTCACCCCGGAGCTGTTCCTATTTGGCCATCTTGGGTCCAAAAAATCCCGTTAGGTTCTTATGTGTGATTAAGTGTGAGAAAATGATTGTTTAGCAGTAGCATATAAATTCAGAGTCAGATATAAGGGTGATATCAAACAACTAGATTGTTCACATGGGGGCCTTAGATTGTGACAGCAACACCTTTGCTTTCTGATGTCTCAAAGTAAACAAATTGTGTTTCAGTAACAAAATTATTTTAAATATTGTGTAAAATTGCATTGAGTCTATGTGTCTATAAGGTACATAAGGAACATAAATGAATTTGTATTTTTACATTTGCCTTAGGTGTTTGTAATGTCTGGTACATAGTAGTTGCTCAATACTGCATAGTATCTATACCATTTTTCCTCTTAATGGCAGCAAATGATGATTGTTTACATCTTAGTCAGAGTGTTTTAGAGACTGTGTGTGTGTGTGTGTGTGTGTGTGTGTGTGTGTGTGTGTATGTGTGTGTGGAGAAAAACTGTTTACTCTGTCTTGGCTTTAAAGGTTTGTTGAAATTCCATAAATTTTACTTTAATCTGGTATCCAGTTCCCAAATGTAATTCTATTAAATGATTCTGTTTCATCATTGAATACTAGCTCAAGAGATAAAACAGAATCATAGAAAAGCTGTTAAATGAAATTGTAATTTACTAGCTTACTACAACAAACCAAAGTGGGTTACCCCAGAACTAAAGAAAAGTGTGCAATGATGGGAAGTAAAGTCATAATCAGAATGTTTATTGTCGATCTTAGAAGAAATTCAAAAAGATTGATTATGTGTCTATTTCCAGTTCAGCTATAAATCTGGACTAACTTCCTAGCTGTTCTAGCTCCTTGAACAGAGCTTAGAAAAGCGTTTAATGTTTCCCTTTTTCTTGACTCTAAGCTAACTGGCTATGTTTTAAAAAGCTTATTTTGTTTTTCAAATATTGTTCACTAAAGTTTAAAGGATTATCTTTTTTTTTTTTTTCTTTTTTCAGATAAAGATCTCATTCTGTTGCCCAGACTGGAGTTCAGTAGTGTGATCCTGGTCTCAACCTCCTGAATTCAAGAAATCCTCCTGCCTCAGCCACCTGAGTAGCAAAGACTACAGGTCTATGCCACCACACCTGGCTATATTTTTAAAAAAATTTTGGTAGAGATAGAGTCTTGCTATGTCACTATGTTACCTAGACTGGTCTAAAACTCCTGGCCTCAGGCAATCCTCCCACATTAGCCTACCAAAGTACAAAAGTGGGAAACTACCATTCACTGCTGGTTGTCATTTTTAAGTTCATTGTAATTTGGGGGAAATACAAAGCCACAATATTGCAAATCATCACTTTAGGGTCAGTCATACATACAAATGAGCAGTTTTATTTATCACATGCAGTTTAAAAACACTTCACAATCAATGAAAATTCCAACTCTGACATCTAGAAGTGAACCATGGATACACTAGGCCTTCATTTGATTGTGAGTGCTTATGCATACTACAATGATTAATTTAAGAAACTGGTTATTGGGAGACATACTGATACCAATAATTTTGTAGTAACTATTCTATATAGAAAAGACTTTTTAATTTAAATCCAATATATATTATATATTATTTCATGTTAAGCATTGTTTCTGTATACATTTCAGGTGTGTTGTTTTGCTCTCTTACCCTGTATTTACTTCCAATTCTTTCTGTGCCCTCACTCTTTGATTCCATCCAATAAGTAGCCTCATAATAATTTCTGTTATCATTCTCTGGTCCTCAGCCTTACTCTCCTGCCTTAATTTATTAATCTTTCATAAAGTCAATTTTAGCATCAACCTAATTGTTTTTCTCATTTTTATAATAATGTGTTCCCATAGTATTGGAGTCATTATTTTGAAACCCCAAAATCTCCATTATTCATTTTAAACTACCATTTGGCAGTTCTGTGGCTCCAAGAAAGAGCCAGGTCTTTTCAGAATCCTGTAACATTCTTCTGCCTAGTATTCTTCCATTTTAATCTTAAATAATTTAAGATTCAGTTGAAGTGTTACTTCCAAATACAAGCCTTCTCTGATTCTCAGGCAGACTTTTTCCATTACCACAGAGTATACTGATTTGACTGATTAGTCAATTTACTTAAACTCTTGACTTGAGTTCCTCTCTCTGAATAAAATTAGGTAACATATGTAGATATGTTATATAGTATCTATAACTTATTAAGAACTATAGAATACTGGCTATTATTATTATTACCCTAACATAATTTTGTTAATATGTATTTCCCACTGAACTGAAATATTCCTAACATCAGGGAAATCATGTAAGAATTTTTTTCACCTGCAAAATCAGTCACAATGCCTGCATTCAGTATGTGTCCATAAATATATGAACATTAATAAAGAAAAAAATAATGAGCTAACACCAAGTAAGAAGTTAAACAGAAGGGAACTTGGAGAAACTTGAGTGAACATGAGTTTGAATCAGTGACTTGGTTTCATAGCTCAAAACCTGGCGAAACTGCTTAGGGGAAGGGGAAGTGGTGAAAGGAGGACTGTGATTTTGCACCTGGACTCAGGACAAATGGATGAATTCACACTGGGTACTGCACAGTCTCGTTATCACTAACAGAGTTGCTCTTGCTAAGGAAGTAAACTATTGAGTTCTCATTTGTGCCATTCAATGTCACGCTTATGTTCAATGCTTACTATAACTATAGTATTGTTGATAGACAGTTACTGAGATATATTAGAATTATTGTTGGCAAAGTATCTCAAGTTTTTTTTTTTTTTTCCCATTGGTCAAACAGAATTATCAGGCTCTTAATAGAAAGCAAAAGCACATGGAACAAGCATAGACCAACAGTAATAATACACTGAGTTAATGGAACTAGTCTACTCGGCCTGTTTTGCATTAAAGCAAAATGATTACAGTGTGGAGGAAGTCCATGTCACTAGAGTAGTGGGACTTAGTAGTTGGAAAGTGACTTTCAGTTAAGGAAGATCCTATGTACCATTAGCTTCAGCATAATACAAAACACAGATTTTTGAGAGCAGAATAACGGAAATTTAGGAAAGAAAATCAGCAAGGTCACATCTTTTAATATTTTTGTCACAGAAACATAGAATTCTGTAGGCCATTTAAAACAAGAAGAATGTATAACTGTACGGCAAGTAGACAGCATAGAAAATCAAGGAAATGGGCAGAAACAGGGGGCAAGTGTCCTAAACACAGTGATCATAAAAAAGTAAATAATAATTATTATTTCTTTTTTTTTTTTTTTTTTTTTTTTGAGACGGAGTCTCTCTCTTGTTACCCAGGTTGGAGTACAATGGCGCGATCTCGGCTCACCGCAACCTCCACCTCCTGGGTTCAGGCAATTCTCCTGCCTCAGCCTCCCGAGTAGCTGGGATTACAGGCATGTGCCACCACGCCCAGCTAATTTTTTGTATTTTTAGTAGAGACGGGGTTTCACCATGTTGACCAGGATGGTCTCGATCTCTCAACCTCGTGATCCACCCTCCTCGGCCTCCCAAAGTGCTGGGATTACAGACTTGAGCCACGGCGCCCGGCCGTAAATAATAATTATTAAACTCAAGTTCTGTAATGTAACAATATTGTAATCTAAATTGCCTATAAAAGTTGCATAACTGAATAGTTCCAGAAGACAATTACAGTGTCAAAACTGTCCATTTTAAATAGATCTTTAAGCATAGACCTTGAATAGTCTTTATTTTTCTAAGTGACTTTGGACCTGGGCTTGCATTTGCTTATAAAAACATTTTATAAAAACATACACCTTGAACAGCCTTTATTTTCCTAGGTGACCTTGAATCTGGGCTTGCATTTGCTTATAAAAACATTTTTAAAAGGTTTAAAAGCCAAAGACTTTCTTGTTCCTATTTTGTCTTCATTATCATCTGCCAAGCACCAGTGATTCCAATCTTTTTTCCACACCCCTTTCTAGTACTCCACCTAAAGTTTTAAACTTTTTCTGAAAATTCAAGCTACCTCATTTGAACAAATCATTTTTCTTTCTGTTCTCTCATTTCAAAGACAAGATGAAACGGTGAGAAGGTCACAGGCTCTATAATGGAGAAACGGCTTTGAATCCTTAACTACCTACTGTTATTTAATTTATTTTTCTAGTTCTATGATATCCTGTTTTTCAGATGTAGGTACAAAAAACCCTCAATCTCAAATTCCACCCAGTGTTTCAAAAATATAATTAGATCTTTTATGTGCTCAAACTGCAGAAAATTCAGGCCTCTGTCCCTCTTCAGGATGTTACTTCTTCATTTGGCAAATGTCATCCATGTGTTTATCTAAATCACAAGTGCTGTTTACTTCTGTCTCAGTATTTGCGCCAGGTTTTTGAACAACCACTCCTGAAAATTTGCAAGTTCATAACTACTTCTGGAAGTAGGTGGCTCCGAGTGTCCTGCTGCATCGTTCGGTATAGTCACAAAGCTGGAGGTATCCAGAATGTTCACTATCTAGAGAAATTCCTCCCAAGTGCTGCCATTGTCTTTACCCTGGGGGGATGAGGTCATCCAGAATGCTCCTGCCCCAGGGTCAACACGGATTGCTTCTGCTATAACGTAGGAACGAGAACTTAGCTCTGCCCTCTTCAGCTGGTAGACTCCTCAACTACAAATAAATTATTTATGCTGCTGTGCTGTTACAAAAGGCAGTAATGCTGAAAATGGGGGATTGGGGGGAGATTTGTCATTTTACATTGACGGTTTTGAGCAATAAATAAGCTGCCTTCGCTGTTGTCAGTTCCTATACCAACCTCATTATAGCTCAGCATAAACAAGTGTTCCATAATAAAATTTACTTAGACTTTTAAAGTTCTAATTCTCTGTCCTCACTTTCGATTATTTCTCCAAAGCACGTTCCTTCTCGGAGAAGATGCTGCTGAGGCCAAGCTTGGAGGTCTGCTTAATTCCTGCAGTGAGTTTGTCTGGTGGGCATTTGGTTCCACATACATAGTTTTGTTTCACCGCCTTTGCCTTAACTGAAAGGTTCCTATAACTATGAATTTCCTAAAGGAGTGATTATATACTAAGACCATTTCTGCTAGTAGATTACTTGCAGGTTTTATGGAATTTTTAGTCTCTTGCTCCAATAAACTTGAAAATTTGCATTCTGAAAGTTTCTTAATTTTTCCTCATCAACAATCTTCCTGACTATCATATTTAGATTTTTCATGATCACCTTCATCAATAGCAACCACAATAGCAGCTCTCAATTATGTCAGCAAGTCATCCAAATGGATATGTTTATGATTGCTTTTAACTCTAACAGTCTACAAACTTTGTCCAAGACTTCAATATTATATTAATCAAAGAATGGACTTTATAACATAAAGTTACTATTTCTCAATTAAAGAAGATTTTAAAAATTAAAAATGAATTAAATAGCAATAATTACTAATAAATTATAAATTATTTCATTTTTAACCTGTGTTTTAATTCATTTAACATTCACTACTAATTCATGCTTTCAATATTATTTCCCTTCTAATTAATTTATTTATATAGTGGGTTTTTTTGTTAAATTTTTATTTTTAGCTCTGGGGTACACATGGAAGCTGTGTAGATTTCAAACGTGTGCTATCATGGTTTGCTACACCTGTCAACCCATCACCTAGGATAGTCATGGTTTAACAACTCATGTTTTCACATATTAGTAATATGCCAATCAACAAGATATAAGGCCTTTTTCTCATGTAGCAGAGTACCATACAGTCCTCTTACATGTATATGTATATGTGTATGTAAAGGGGATAAAAATTAGTTTAAGCTTCCTGTGCATTTTAGGAATTATTTTAGTAATCATTATTCAGGATTTTAAAATGTTTTTTGTTGATCTTGTATAATTTCTAGCACAATACGGTTTTTCCCCAAATATGTCATTGGTGACTAATCATTTCCAGTGCTCTAATGTAACAGACAATGGAATTACTTAAAAGCATAAAGAATAAATGTTTGGGGTTTCTGGCTTTTATTTTCTCTTTACACCAAGTGGCTTTTAGAAGTAAAGACCCTTAAAAGTAGATGAAAATATTCTGTTAGAAATAAATATGGTAGTAAACTGTTTCTTCTTCTAACAATATAATGTGTACAAAAAGACACTATTGTCATTTTATGTTACAAAACTATAAAAAATGTGTAGATAAGCCATCTATAAATGCTAATATGGCAGAAAATTTGAACAATTTTTTCTCTACAAATATTTTAATTCATTTCCTGTATTTAAAAATATGTAGCCTTGCATAAATACACCATATGCATATCCCAAAATTAACTCTTTTGTTGGTTGGGAAAGATTTATCTCATTGAGTGAAAAAGAAATCTGCTTTCAAATGAGACTTTCTGTTTTAGAGAGGACACATACGAATTTTGGAAAAATACTAAATACACTCTTCTCTACCTGTGTACATTTCACAAAGGAGATGAATTCTGTGATAGGTTAATGTGTACTCCAGCTGCTATGAAAATCTGAGAAAGAAAAATTCTTGTGATTTTTACTATCAAAGTATAGTGTAAATAATTCATTCTCAACATTCTCAACATGCAGAAATGCTTCAGTCCCATAAGCAGTATCATTTTTTCTGGGTTAACTGTTTTAAAAGAAGAACACACATCCTATTTTATTTTTGAAAACTTGTCTACATTTCTGGAATTCCCTCTCATAAGCTCTGTAATACACAGTAAGGGGAAACAGTAACAAAGTAAGCTTCTCACGAAAGCACTTAAATTTTGCTACATAAAATTTTTTATTAAGATTCCAGACTGTTTGAGAATGCGATTAAAAATCTACAGAAATCTGTCCATTTAAAAAATGCTCTTAATTCCACAAGTTTAACATTCTACATGTATATCTCTTTACTGAAGTACACATAGTATTTCTCCATTTAGGTAGAACATATGTAATATTTTAAACATACATATCTTCCATAATAATTTTACCATGTGAAAGGCCATCAACTATCTGAAAATGAATTAAAAAGAATGTAAGTTTGGCAAAAAGTCTATTCTTTTCAAATGTTAGTTCAACTTGAAGACTACCTTGGATATGAATTGAAAACTAGGATGCTCAAGGAGATATTTGACATGTAAATATACATACTATCTTTCACATATAATTAATTTTTAACAGTTATTAATACCTTAAATTCACATTAGGAGTATAAATTATATCAAAGTTCCCAAATCACCATGTGAAAGTTGTCATAGGATTGGCATATAATGATAAAGACAAGATTTTCTAAAGCTGAGTTAAATTTATATAACTTCAGTTTACTTTCCTTGTGTAGATTAAATCATCTTTAGGAAGGCATGCATTACTAACCCTGACTATGTCCACAAGGAAAGGATTTTCAATGAACATTTAAATAATACCATATGTGGAAACCTAAACTTCTATTCATTTCTCATTGTTTCCAAGAGTGCAAAGTTATTATTGCAAGTAAACTCACCAGGATTTCTTATTCTTAACTCATTGCTACAGAAGATTTTCTTCCATAGTTCTTACATCTACATTCAGATTCTTTTGCCAAAATCATGACTTGGCTAAAGAATACATAGTTTTTAAACCATATCATAAACAGTCATTGCAAGACTTTTAGCTGAAAGGTTTGTCTCATTGATGTCTAAAAATACTTGAAAATTAAAGTTATAAATATCTTTGATTTCAAATGATGTGAGACTCCTTTGTTGTTCAAAAACAAAACTCTTTATAACATAATCAAATAAATCAAGACCAAACATCAAACATCTAGAAAGCCAGTACATATATAAGTTTTATGGAATAATAATACAGTTAGCCTCCATTTCTTGCCAAATGTTCTTGAAAAAGTAGTGATGATTTTGAAATTATGGAAAAGGAGAGGAAGTAGGGACAAAATGCAAGATTTTGTTGAAGATTTTTATATTATTTTGTTGCCAACCCCAATTTAGAAAGCATTGAAATATTATAGTACATGAAGCTCCTTTCAGTACCAAAGGGGGAAAATAAAACATATCTGTTGTCCAAAATAAAACATTTTTTCATCCCTGTAGAGAAAACCACGCTATTTTCTTCATTTTTTTAATTTTACTAACAGATAAAACTTTATTTCTTGTCACCATTTCAAAGATTGGAAGTTGCTAAATGTTTTTTAAAAATGCTAACAGCACTAAACAATTTATTTTCTCTGTATTACAAACAGAACAGCTCAGAAAATTGTAAAGAAAAAATTGAATCAAATCAAGAAACAAAAAATTAAAATGTAATTGCGGGTTGGTATTGTCTGTCTCCGTGTCCCCCACTGAAATCTTATCTTCAATTATAATCCAAATTGGAATCCCATGTGTTGGGAGAGAAAGCTTGTGGGAAATGATTAGATCATAGGAGCAGTTCACCCATGTTGTTCTTGTGATAGTGAGTTCTCACAATATCTGATGATTTTATAAAGGTCTTTCCCTGCTTTGCTCTGCACTCATTCTCTCTCCTGCCACCCTGTGAAGAGACACCTTCCGTCACGATCGTACGTTTCCTGAGGCTTCCCCAATCATGCAGAACTGAGTCAATTAAACACCTTTTCTTTATGAATTACCCATTCTCAGGTATTTATTCATAGCAGCATGAGAACAGACTAATATACTGGTAATATGAAATTTCATATTTAAAGAATAATTGTTTTAGGCTGGGCATAGTGACTCACTCCTGTAATCCCAGCACCTCCAGTTTTGTCCAGTCTTACATGTTGCTTTCAAAATTCTGATGCCAAACTCATTTACTTTAAAGTTTCTAAAACATTGTGCTTTGAAACCTACAGGATTAAAGTTTTACCTTTAAGTCCCAAAGGTTTCACTTTGGATTCTTGAAGTAGACCATCCCAGGTCAAATTTCCCACGTACAAGTAGGGTTGTTATAAAAACCTAGATTCAGATCTATTGTTTTTCAAATTTTTTCTTATACTTTATCTTAAAAATTAGAATCCTTAAACTTGTTTTAATTCTTCAGAAACTCCAAGATACACATGTTGAATATTCTTATGTTGTCACTGTATCTATAATTTTCTGAGTCATTTTACCTCCCAAATATTTTTTAAATATTTTCTACTCTATTAGCTATTTTATTAATTTTCTCAATTCTTCCAATTAAATGTTCAATAAAGTCTATTTTCATTTGGTCATATTGAAATTTAGTGTTAAATTTTAAGGGATTCTTTTTCATCTATTCAGTTCTTTAAGTTCAGTCAACTATCATTTAATATCTTCCTGCTTTTGTTAAACTTCTGCGTTTTTCATATGAGATTTTTTAGACTTTTGATTTAAGTATAAATGCCTGTTTGAGGATATTTGATTCATGTTTCAAATTTTTTTAAGAGAGTTTTGCTCTATTTTGAGTGTTTTTGGAATTTTAGTTTGTTGCCAAAATGTTTGATTCTTTTTTTTCTGTGTAGAGGGGTTTGGAGAAAGTAG